CCAAAATTTATACAGAATCGGCTTGATGTGTTCCCTGGCGGCCACACCACTCACCAGCCGCGCCGCTCGATTCTGGACCAGTTGCAGTCGCTGGACCGTCTTCAAAGGCAGCCCCATGTAGAGCGCATTGCAATAATCTATATGTTTTAGACTTGGTTCTCTCAAAACAGTGGATGTAAGAAGTCAAAGATTAAGTAGTCTCAAATGACTTTCATATGGTGTGAGTGTCATTTATTGATTCTGTTCAACAGACGAACAGACGGTGGAACTGTTTAGATAGAACAATATGATGGATGGGTACAACAGCTCAATATAGGCAATCAGGGCCAGGAGTCATATCAGTGTGTTGCAGAAAAATAAATAAATTGGAAGTCCTGAAAAAAAACCCCACCCGTTTAGTCTTAAAGGTGCCAATGGCAGTCCTTCTTTTGACCAATATACAGTATACTGCTCCTTTCAGAGATGTTCAGATTGTGTCTTGTGAGTGCCTTATGTCCAAGGCTGAACGACGTCCCCCCAAAAGGTGTTTTGTTGGGCTCCAAACATTACAAAACGGGTGGAGACAAAAAAAAAGTGGGGGTGGGGAGAATAGGAAACAAAAAAGAGACGGAAAAACAATGAAGACAGAAACGCTCACCAGGATTTCCTCCCGGCTTGACAATTAGCTGCATGGGATCTTTATTTCCTCCCCCTCCATCTCTCAGCGGGCCCCCCCAGCCAACCAGGAAGGGCCGTTCAAGAAAGAAAGAAACGAGTCCGTTATGAAGACGATGATGATTATTATAGGCACTCCTCCTCCTCCTCCTTGCGGGGAAGGGGCGAAGCGCGCCAGAGTCGGTTGGGAAGAAGCGACCAGGGTCGGATGGCCGCCTCACCACCGCCGCCGCCGAGAGCGTTACTGGTCTCTTGAGCGGTTTTGGCGGGAAAGCGGCGTCGAGGAGGCCGCCTTGCCTCCCGAAGAGGCTCCCTCACGACCTCCTCTCCTTCCCTCACCGACGGGAACAATGAACACGACCCGTGGGAACCCAGCCGTCTTGCTTTCTCCCCACCGAAACTCTCCCCCTTTCCCCCACCCCACTCACCCACCCGCCTCTTCCCTCAGGCATCGAGTCCGCCTCTGCCTTCTTTCTCCTCAGGGAGCTCCAACCCCCCTCCCCCAATGCCAGCGGCCCGGTGGGGTCTCGTACTACGCACCGAGGAGTCGGCCTCCATGTTTCTCTCTGCGGAAACACATTAAAAAAAAACACCAAGATAAACCCGCAGTCCTCGAGGGTCTGGCCCGCACGTTTCGCACACGCCAGGCTTCTCCTCACGCCGTCGACGCGCCCTCGTTCCCGAAAGGGCCCAAGCCGGGGGGAAAAAAAAGGGTGGACGGGCGCGACAAACTCACGTTCCTTCCACGTGGAGCGGCCGCTGCTTAGCGAAAAGGGAGTTTCAGTTTCGGACAGAACTTTGAAAATGAGGTGGGCGGCCTCCCCCGCCACTTCTGTCCATCATTCTGAATTACATAGAAAACGAGTGTATTTTCACCGATTGTCATCTATACACGCATCGACAACAAAGAACAAAAATTCTGAATATTAATTTGATCATGTTAACCGTTACAGCTTCTAATACCCTTTTCACTAAGAATAATCAAAGAATATTTAAATTTACTTTCAGCAGGAGTGTTAATTTTAATTTTTAATAAGTAAGAAAACCCCATTTTCATTTAAGTTCAATTTCTAAATACAACCTATGCTTACACCAGTTTGTTACACATATCATTCTCTGCAAACTGGGGCTCAAGGTAGAAGAGTTTTTAAAAATCTCACAAATAGAAATTCAAAAACATTAATATAAAATCAAAATCAAGCAAATTATAATATTTGAACAGCTGAATTAAACAGAATGTAAAAATGCATCTATAAAAAACAATGTCACTTCAGCCCACAATCCATGCTAACTCTTAACTATCCTTCTTACCCCTCTTAAAAGCAGTCTTCCTGGGTAGCCAGGCAATGGTCAAAATTAAAAGCTACCTAAAAATATGGGAAGGTATGTTAATAATACTGTTGTTGGCCTAAAATGATAGGGTGGGTTTAAGGCATTGTAACAAAGAATTCCAGAATCTGAATGTCATGTTTCCATATTTGTAACCTGAACATATGAGATTTCGCCTAGAGTGGTTGAAATGACTAGATAGGTGGGGTATAAATAATAATAATAATAATAATAATAATATGAGAAATGCAGAAGGGATCTCCTTGTGGATCACTGAGTCCACCGCTGTCAAGGAGGCATAGTGGGGAATTTAACGCCTAACCTCCGTCTCTGTAGCCAGGTGCCTAAACCCCACTGAGTTATCCAGCAGTTCATGAAGGGCAGAAGGGCAAGAGGCCAGTTTAAAGGAAGGGAGTTCCACAGCCTATAGAAGGCCCCAAGAAGGCAACTTCTACGGGTGAGGCCAGCAAGAGAAGGGAGAATATGGTCCTTCGTATAGTCTGAACTGACAATTAACTCACATCAGTTAAAAGTAAGTGGGGTGGCTCCCCATGCAAACCAGGAAGGTAGGGGGAGGCAGGGGGTCACTGTCACCTCTTTATAGCATACTTTCATGCAGTCAGTACATGGATAGATTCCGTGTAGGTCTTCATACTGTTTTCTATTCTGTTTGTTAATCACTTAGTGTCCAGCACTAAGTCGACGGTATAGACATTTATTAAATACTAAACTGATGGAAGTTGGGAGGAAGAACAGCAGGTGCAATCCACATCATGAAAGAAGGAATGTTCTGTTGAAGAGTAGAATTGCTCTCCTGTAGAATAATATTCCAGCTAAAAAGTAGTGCCCATTTAAATCCACGTTATTATTATATATTCAGAACTAGGGAACAAAACCAAAGTCTAGATATAGAAATACACAATATGTACAGTTCCATTAGCTGCAGGCTGTTATCTATTTGTTTGATTGTTTGTTTATTATAGTTCAAACAATTAACCTTCATCCTTCCTCAGGTGCTGCCCTACAGTTATGAATGTGTTTGCCACTTTCTGCAACCCCGGTATTTCATCCTCACAGCCCTGAATTGTACAATACGTATACACTTTTCCCTACTCTCCTAATCAATGCACGACATCTTCTAACTTCTCTCCTACCTCTCCCCAAACTCTGTCACAATCTCTTCCTTCCAGCCTATACAATTCAGTATCATTCTTGCACTGATGTAGCTTTGACCTCTAGTCCCTGGGGTGCTGAGTTAAATAAATCCGTATATATCTGCTGCGCTTGAAAAAGAAGACTCTCTACCCTCACTCCTGCAACCAGGCTTACTCCTGTTGTTGCTGTCCGTCAGAGAAACTTGCTGTCCTGAAAGTAACATGCTCAACTTTCAAGAGCTATGCCCTTTGTCCCCTTACACACTCTAGAGTGCAGGGAGAGTTACTCACTGAGCTCCACACAGTGACAGTTACTAAATCTTGCTCTGCTCAGGTAGGGGTAGGATCTTAGCCCCAAGGCTGGATCAGATGCTGCCGTTCTGTTCCCCCTGCGCTGTTTGCTTTCTGACATACACAGATGGGTTCCTCCTCCCCTTGCCGGGTGTCATTTTGCCAACAACTTCCAGCCATTCACATCACGTGCAAGTGTTTTTGGAAGCCTTTATAGGATGGCTGTGAATGCAGTCGGTAGGAAAAGCTTGCATGGATCATGAGTGGCTTGCAGTTTAGTTTGAGAATGAATAATGCATAAAAGAATGGCCCATTCAACAAAGATGCACTGTGACTAACCAAATGCTTTTGATAAAATAGGTCTTCTAGAATGGTCATAGTTCTTTTATCCTAATACTCATTCTCCTTTCTGTAATCTGGTTGCTATTTACATGTAATTAAATTCAAATAAAACAAGACACACGTTTTAATATCAGATAAAGGTTCCATGATCCATGCATTCTTTATGTAAAATGCAGTCATTATGTACACTTGCAGTTTTTTTGGAGTGATCATTTATTTTTATTTAATTAATATTTGGGGGGGTACATTTATACCACCTTTCTCCCAGGAACGGGATTCAAAGCACTCACAAATCATTAACAATAAAAGAATTAGAAATAATATACAAAATATTAAACAAAGAAGTAGTAAAATCTTTATATAAAAACAAATTAAGATATATAAAGGCATTTAAAAAAACATTGAACATTATATTTTGGCAGTCAACATATGGCAATTAGTTATTCTAAAATTAGATTTTAAACACTGAAAGCCTTTGGAATGCCTTTTTTTTAAAGTCACAGAAAAGTGAAGAGGGGGGCAGTCTAGGAGGACATTCTATAATCTGGAGGAAACACTGAGAAGGCCTCCTCTCGGGTCCCTGTCAAATGTATCTGTAGAGGTGATGGGATTAAGACCCAAGGAGGGTTATATGAGGAGATGCAGTCCACCAGGTAGCCTGGACCCAAGCCATATAGGGCTGCGTAGGTCATAACAAGAACTTTGAATTGGGACCAAAACTAGACCAGTAGCCAATGGAAATACTGTAACAAAATTATATACTCTCTGTAATGCGCCCTGGTCAATAGTCTGGCTGCAGCTTTTTGCACCAGCTGGTTTCCAAACTGTCTTTATAGGTAGAGTATGTTGCAGCAATCAAAGCAGAATGTAACTAGTACATGTCTCACTCTAGACAAAATCAGACTTCTCAAGGAACATGTGCACCCAGTGCCCTAGCTTTTACTATGCAAATACACTCCTAGCCACCTTTGAGACGTAGGTTTCCAGGCTCAGACATGAGTCAAGGAGTATTCCCAAATTACAAGCCCGGTTTTTCAGCAGGAGTGCGAGTAGACATGGTCTAGAGGGGCGGGGTAAAAATCAAATAAATAAATAAACAAACAAATAAATAAATAAACTCCATCTGCCTTTTGATTGACCAGGACCAATTCTTGTCTGGATTAAGTGTCAATCTGTTTGCCCTCATCTAGTTCATATCCAGTGGCAGACACTGGTTTAGACCAGGAATAGCTTAATACCTGGAATTAGGTATAAAAGAGAGATACAGAAAGGAGTCATCCACATACTGGTGAAACTGAATTCTAAAATTATTGACAACTTTTCCCAGCAGTTTTGTGTAAATACTGTACTACATAATTTGGGTGATAAAGCAGAAATCTGTGAGACAACACAGGCCAAAGACCAAGGCCTTGAATAGGAGTACCCCAGCACTGGCTTCTGGTTTTGATCTTCCAGGAAGAATCAGAGCCATTACAAAATAGGGCCTCCAAATTTCATACCAGAGACATAGCCCAGAAGGATTTATTTAATTATGTTTTTCATTTGATAAATATCATGGCTGATATTATTGAAAACCACTGAGAGATCCAGCAGCACCAACAAGGATGCACTCCCCGGCTAGATCCTGGTATAGGTTCTCCACTAAGACAACTACAGTATTATGCAACACTTAATAAAGCAGACAAAGGAATCCAATTCTACATCAAAATAATTTTTTTAATGTGGCTCATATTTAGTTTACAATCCTGGATCTGACAGCATAAAATCGGCCTTCTAACAAAATAAAAGCCATTTCTTTATATTTGTACAGGTATATAAAACAGCATTTCAATTCCTACTGCCAATCTGTAAGTTCAACTTCCAAGATTTCCATAACAGCCACAGACTTTATGCTGTACAATGGATTCTCTTTACTATCTCCTCCAGGGTCAGTGATAGCACTTTAACCTAATAAGGTTTACTTTATTCAACATCCGCAATCCAGAATAGGGCCTCTAATATATAGTACCTAGAATCTTGATAGTTTTAAAAAAATTAGAGAACAAAGAGCAGGTGTCAAATAAAGAGCAACAATGACTGAGTAGGGGTAGAACAACTGGAATGCTGAAGAATTAGTAGAAAGAGAATATAAGAATGGGAAGACTGGGGAATATGGAAAGCATTAAATATTTAAAACAATACCACTAAAATAAGTATGGCAACATGATCTAACTAAGGAAAGCAAGGTGGAAGACTGGAATACAGTAGAATGTGGAATAGAACAATAATTAAAAATATGTTGATAAGGGTCAAGGAAAATTGTTACAAAACCGCATGGAGATGATACCTAATGCCTGTTAAAATGAATTGAACAAATGAAACTGTCTTGTCTTTATGCTGGGGATATAAAAAATAAAAGGGGACTTATTTACATATGTGGTGGTCTTGTGAAATGAGAAAAAATAAGTGGTCAATTTTTTTAAAGAGATAAAATACATTTTGAGTAAGGATGTATAACTGTCTTCAAATATTGCTTTGCTGAATATGGTTGGTAATAACCAATTAAGTTGGGAATAAAAGTAATAATTTGTTATTATGGTGAGAGTGGCATGGCTGATTATAGCAAAGAACTGGA